TTTGTGGCACCAGAGCTCTCTGACAGATAAGGCTCAATATCCCAGAAAAAAACAAAACAGTTCCCATGATTCTCTAGCACTGAGCCAGGACAGTTAAAGTAGCCTCAAGTTGCACTATTTCTGTGCAACCTTAAACTATAGCCAAGCAAAATGGGTGTCATGCTGAGAGGTGTAGAGAAGGCATAGTAGAACAGGTTAATTTTTAGATAATGATGTATCTCAGGATATAGCTGATACTTTTTAAAAAACATATCAGGACTTCCTTAGATTGTGCAGGCTAAAAGAGACGTGACATAAATATCTATGAACAGGATCTCTCCTGCTGTTTTAAAGTGTTCACTGTAGCCTTGGTATCAGTTCTCTCCCCCACCCCAGTAATATAGATTGAAACCACAATACCGAGGGAAGCAGAGGGAAGGTTTGCAGAGATGTCTTGAGTGCCAGATTTGGAAGAAAGATTGGATACAAATGGAATGCATATATAAATTACTAAACCTTTGCCTTTGAGTGTTTTTTGTGGGGTTTTTTTGTGGGTGGGGGCTATGTGGCTAGAAGATTTTATTTCTGATGTTTCGCCAGCATCTGAGGCTGGCATTTTCAGAGAATGCTGACATGGAAGTGAGTGGGGTATATAGATACTGTGTGACCCTTGGTCGAGAGAAGGTCATTTACATGTTAAGCTGTGTGTTGTTTTGTTGTTGAATGACAAGGTTTCAGGGTAGGAGGATTGCAAGGAGGCATTATGTCTTTTTAATTAGTGATCCATTGTCTGCTGGGAAACACCTGATTCTGAGTAGTTTTCATTTGCACATGCTGGGTCTTGATTCTGGTGTTTTTCAGAACTGGCAGACAGACTTTGTTTATTTTAAGGGTTTCTTCTTTCCTGTTGAAATTGCCTAGGTGTTTGTGGATTTCAATGGCTTCCCTGTGCATTCTGACCCAAAAGTTGTTGGCTTCCATTTGCCTTTGCCATTTGGTAAGATAGAAAAGTAGAAAACAAACATGTGTGGTTTTTTTCCTGATCAAAACTTCCACCAAGAGTTGTTTGCTGTGTCACACAAAACAGACATATTTATGATTGTTTATTAAAATATTTATATCGCATCCTATGTCTGAAGATCAAATATGACCAAGTATCAGGTGTGCAGGTGTGTGGGGGGGGAGAGCAAAGGGGTTAAGTCCCCCTCCCTCCCTCCCACCCCCCCACCCACCCCCATATCTTGGCCCCAGTCAAAATTGCTCTTCCCCACAGGATTGCTATTAATAGTTTTTAAAAACATGGGCATCTCTACCCATACATCTCCTGCTTCATACCTCATAGGTTCATCCTCTGTGGCTGTTTCCACCCTTAGGGCCAGATAATTATAAGCCAATTTCTAATCTCTCTTTTCTGAGTCAAGTCTTAAATCAAGTTGTGGCAGCACAATCCCCAGACTTTCTTAGATGAAACTGATTATCTGGATCAATTTCAGTCTTGGTTCAGACCTGGACAGAAGCATCCCTGTTCACAATAATGGAGGACCTATGCCAGGAACCGGACAGAGGAATGTGTTCATCTTGGTTCTGCTGAACTCCTACATGGCATTTGATACCGTCATAGTATTCCTCTGGGCTGTTTGACTGATATGAAACATGGGGACACTTTGGTATATCTTGGCTGATAGTTCCAGAGGGTTGTTCTAGAAGTCTGTTGCTCAGCCTCCTGGTCATCAGCCTTTTCCGCATGTCTTCCACTGCTCTGCCCAGTCCCTGATAGCCCATGCCTGTGACCCCCTTGATTGAGTCCCTCCATCTGGCCTGTGGTCTTCCTCTCCTTCTTCTACCTTTGCTAGCATTACTATTTTTCCTAGTGATCCATGTTTTCTCATTATGTGGCCAAAGTATGATAGCCTCAACTTACTGCCTCGGCAGACGGCTCAATTGAGCCGTCTCCGAGGCCTGGAAGAGGAGGGGCCACCGCACGCGCGGCGGCCCTTCCTCTTCCTGAGGTCGCCCTGAACGCTTCCGGGTCACCGCACGCCGGACGCGTTCAGGGCGACCTCCCTCCACAGCGTCCGGACGCGCTGTGGAGGATGAGTCGCAAAAAGGGCGCCCACCGCTTTTAGGGCGCCCTTTTTGCGACTTATGAAAGGAGTGCCTTTTTGGCGCTCCTTTCAGGGCCGCTCTAGGAGCGCCGCGGTGGGGCTGCCATAGCCCCGCGGCGCTCCGGACCAGGGCGTCCCAAACGCCCTGGTCTGCAGAGGGCCTTAATCAGCTTGGCTTCCAAGGAATACTTGACAAATAATGATGAATATACAGTGGGCTCTTCGTATAGGGGTTTGGTTCCAGAACACACACACACCGAGACACCAAAACCCACAAATGCTCAAGTCAGTCTTTATAGTCATATAGGCATTAGATTTTCATGGTAAACAGGTTTCATGTTCTTTATCAAACTGAAATCATTGTGGATAGTAACATATATGAAATTCAGATTACCTGATATTCAATGTGAATTATTACTTACATGTCTGTTTTAGCTAGAGGACCACTGAAGAAAAATGGATGGTGAATGAATAAATTTGCATCCATACATTAGGAAGAATAATATGTTTCATTTGATCTGAAAAAAAACAAAAACTGGGGCCCAAAAAAGGCAGGCCAAAAGTGATAGCTTTGGCCCGATCTGGGGGTGTTGAGATGACACACACACCCTGATCCGGTCAAAGCTGTGCTGCAGCCACCTAAGGTGGTCCAAACCCAGCCACAAAAGGAGTGCTCCTTACTGGTGGTCCATTGCAGACCACCACCATGGCTGGCCTCGGGACAAGACCATGTCTGGTTGCAAGGGCCTCACACAGAGAGCGATCGGAGTGGCAGCAGCCTCTAGCCATTCCTTTTGCCCCATCTGCTCAACTTCTATGTTACTATTATCAAGACTTCAGATGTTAAACAACAGCTGCCACAAGTATAAATAAAAGAAAATGAATAGATCCAGCCCCAGTGTATTTGCTTAATTCCATTTTAAAGTCACCTAAACCATTACCACATCGCGGTGGTAAGTTAACGTAAATTATGGTGTGTAATGGTAATGAAAGATTCTCTTTTATAGGATCTGACTCTTCCACTAGTTGATTTTCATCTGGGTTCTTGTTATGAGAAGAGATTATCTGCCTCCTACCTTGTCCACACACCAATATATCATATCATGTAACTCCTGTGCATTAGAATCTAGCATGCCAGAGAAGCAGCAAACTTCTAATATGCTGCCTTGCAGCATGTTCTTTTCTTCAAGAGAGTGAGAATCTGAGGCTGCCATCTGATGCAACCCAGATCAGGAAAGACTGTACCACAGAATTGTTTGAATTGACTTATTCTTTTGCACAACTACTACTTTGCTGTCCAAGCGCATTAATCAAGAAAATCAGAAGGATAAAATGAAAATATATTCACAAACAATGTTGTTCAAGTTCTCTCTCTTTTTCTTCTAATACAACAACATCCCCAAAAGTTCTCAAACACATGTTAGATTACCATACGCAGCTTTGGCCTAATGAAATGAAGACATACTCCATCTGACCCAACAGCAAAAGAGGAGCTCCTTCCCATTTCTTCCTTGTTCCCCATTGAACCCAAGCCTCAAGGTAGAAGTCAGTAAAGAAAAGTGTATGCTGCAAAACCAATCCTCAGTGCTTACCTTTTTGCTTCGCCCTTCCCACCATATCTTGTTTGATTTTTCTTTTCTCTCATTCATGCTATAACTGTGGTGAATGCCAATGAAGCAACATGATGCAGCCCCGACTGGTCATTTGCAGACAATTTTTCTTCAGGGTACCAAACAGTCAACCAGCACATTTTTTGAAACTCAAATGTAGTCGAGTCAACCAGTTATGCACACTGTTTTGGTAGTAACCATGGCTACACTCTGAGAGATGGGAATTTCAATACACACTTTCCTACTTATTGACAGTACGGAAATGCAAATGCTATTTTGTAAGGAAACAGGACTTTTCTAAGTACAGAGCTAAAAATCATAGGGAAGCTCTATAGCCCTTTACTATTTAGAATTTCTACAAGATGCATGCAACATCCAGAGATGGCAGTCATACATATTTGTGTGGCCATTTCAGGGCCTGGGAATAGGGGATGAGGAAGGAAGTTCTGAGAGAAATTGCTCTGTTTAGCTTTTTAAAAACTCTTTAATGGTGAAATAGGCCTGGATACAGTGTTGTTGTTTTTCCTTTGGCTGCATTTCAAGCCATGGCTACCCATCAGTACTCATGAAATGATCTGAAGTAGGGGGCAAAGCCATTTTTCAACAGGAGCACTTGCCCATCCTCTCATGCTACCCATGATAAATATGGCTATAAAAAGAAAAGAAATAATGTCCCTAAATAGAAAACCAACCCATGCATAAAGAGAATGTTTTCAAGGATTCATCCACAGAAGCAAAGTAACTATAGCTTAGCACCTTCTTCAACAGTTCATAGCTTTCATAGAGACCTATCAACACCTCATGGAAGCAACTGCATGCTTACAAATGAACTGAATTCCAGACATAACATTAAAAAGTGAATACTAAAGCCACCAGGTTATTTTCCTATGAAAATCTCTCGAGTATATGGTTTGTTTTAGCAGCATTGATAGAGATATTTGTAATGTGAATCATGCCTGGTATAGTTCAGCCCCAAATCTGAAAGCAATTAAATAAAATAGGGTAAGAGTTCAAGTAATAGTTATTCCTTTTTAAGGAATAATTTAATGTAATGTAATATTTATATTACAATTAATAATAATTTGATGTAACATTTATAGCAGAACATTTGTATATTTACTAGTTGTTGTGTGCCTTTAGGTTTTTCTGACTCTAAATAAAAATAGCTATCATACTCAGGTCCTGCTTGTGAGATTCCCTGGGGCATACAGGTTTTCTTAGCAAGTTTTTTCAGAGGAGGCTTGCCATTGCCATTCTCTGAGGCTAATAGAGTGTGACTTGCCCAAGATCACCCAGTGCTCACCCATGACTGAGCTGGGATTCAAACCCTGGTTCTCAGAGTTACAGTCTGACACTCAAACCACTGCACCATGCTGACTCTCTTATATTTACTTTACACTGTCCATAATATTTATACTAGGGCCTTATCTATGACATAGCAGCACCATGTGAGGGTATAAGAGAGGATCATCTCTGCTATGGTACCCTAGTTGTGAAATGCACTGTCCTAAGAAGCATGATTACCTTCTTTCTGGTGCTGTTTTAACATGTGGCCTTTTACTGAAACCTTTGGGACATGATGATTTTGCCCAAATCTACACATGTAGATAGTCTTAAATGTTTTAAATTTCTTTCAGTTATTGTGTTTAATCTATTTTTAGATGCTTAAATTATCTTATAGTTTTCCATTTTTAATCTCTCTTAATTGTTTTGCATTGAAGTTTTCTATATGCTAACTTGAGACTTTGTGATGCTTTAATAAATAATAATTAAAGTAATTCTAGAATGGTACAGTGGTGTAAATGTTGGACTAGGCATCTGAGGGACCAAGATTCAAATCCCTACTGAGCTATGGAAATCTATTACATGACTTTGAATAAGTCACATCCTCTCAGCCTCAGAGGAAGGCAAAAACAACCTCCTTGGTTGAGAAAACCCTGTGTCAGGTTCTCCTTGGAGTCATCATAAGTCAGAAATGACTTAAAAGCAAACAACAAATAAAACGATAAGAAGAAAGTGCGGAAGAAGATATAAACCCAGAGGATTATAGTGAAGGATAGTTGCTGTTCATATATATATATATCTCAAGTCAGATCATATATATATTGCTTTTTGTTTTCTTGTGCTTGTGACATAAGGTTTGAATGATAAAACAAAAGGAAAAGAATTATTGCATGTATTAGGAAGACAAAAGTATGCAGTAGTCTGTCTTCAGGAAACTCATATTCAGAGTAAAGATAAGAAATTATTAAGAAATTCAAAACTAGAGTTGGATTATGTCTCAGCAGCTAAGCAAAAGAGGAGAGAAATAGCAGTTTACATATCAAGAAAAATACAATCAAAAGAAATATTCAGTGATGAACAGGGATCTTATCTAGGCATTGAATTGATGATTCAAGGGAAAGCTTATTTATTAATCAATATATGCTCCAAAAAAAGATGTAATATTAAAGGATTACAACAATTATGAGATAATAATGTGTGGAGATTTTAACCCAGTTATGAACCCTTTAATAGACAGATTGTCAGGTAAAAAATTAAGGAAAAACAGAGAATGTTACTAAAAACCTTTTCTGATTTGCTGCGGAGACATGATTTAATAGATGTATGGAGACACAAGGAGGGAGACATGAGAGAGTTTACTTTCTTCTCTGAAAGACAAGTCCTTTGCTAGGCTAGATATGTTTATAACATCTAAAACACTTTGTAATAAGATAAGGAAAATGAAAATTTTGACTAAAACCAAGTCAGATCATAATGCAATAAACATGAATTTGAGCTGCTATATATCAGAATATTGATGGTGTCTACAGGATTATTTAACCCAAAATAACAAAATAGTTGAAGAAGCAAAACAAAAGTTAAAAGATTATTTCACTGACAATCTAGAAAAAGGAATAACGAATAGAAGTAGCATGGGACACTGATAAAGCAGTACTATGAGGCTTTTTCATTCAAAAACATCAAGAAATGTAAAGGAAAGGGAGAGAGAGAATACAATGAATTACAGAGGAAATAAAAAAGAAAGAGGAAGAGTTGAAAGAAGCAACATATGAGGATAAGATAATCAAGGATATTAAGATCTTATGAAAACAACACTCATTAGAAAACCTAGAAGAAATCGCAAAAATAATAAAACATATATAAGTAAAACAATTTCAGAATGCAAATAAGTCTGGAAATTGGTTGACATGGAAATTAAGAAAGGAAAGAGATAAAAATCTAATAACAAATATAAAAATTGATGCGAGGATATTTACAGATCAAAAAAAGATCAAGGAGATTTTCTACAACCACTTTCAGAGAATATTCCAAACTAAAGAAATAGATGAAGAAAAAAAAAAACCAGAAACTATGGGCCAATGCAGACCGGCACTATAGGCTGGACTGGGGGTGGAGTTGGGTTGCCCCAATTCCACCTCGACTCCACCCCGATGTCACATGCCCATCCGCAAGGCACACAACATCAGAGCACCCTCCTGCTGCAGCATGCGCACACTCTTTTGGGGGTGGCAAAAAGGAGGTTGGGGGCCGTGGCAACTGCTGCAGTCCCAATCCAGTGTTCCAGGGGTGGCCCAGAGCCACCCCAAACAGGCTGTCTGCATCGGCCCTATTTAGATCAAAGTAACATCTCAACTTTGAATGAAGAGCAGAGGCAGGCACAATTCAGATTGACCCATTTCTATGAAAGAATTACAAGAAACAATTAAAGTGGCAAAGAATGATAAAATGCTAAGTCCAGATAGATACACATAACATAATAATAATAATAATTTTTATTTCTATACCGCCCTATGGCACAGCAAGGTTCTACAAAAATTTTCAAGATGAGGTAAAACAACTGTTATTAGAGATTATTAATAACATTAGAATGGGAGTAGATAACAATATTTCAACTACCTAGGAAGAAGCCAATGTAACTTTAATTTTGAAGGAGGGAAAGGATCAACAAAACCCAAATTGCTATTGGCCAACATCTTTACTTAATACCGACTGCAAACTATTTGCATATATATTGGCAAATAGATTGAAAAAAGTATTAGTAAATATAATAGCTGAAGAGCAATGTGGCTTCCTGTCAGGAAGACATTTAAAAGATAACTTGAGAAATGTGATAGATATTATAGAATACTTTGATTTTCATAATAAAGAAAGCTAGCACTGATTTTATTAGATATGGAGAAGGTGTTTGATAACATAGATTGTAAATTAATGTTAGAAATAATAGATAGGATGAAAAATTGGATTAAATCAATATATCTGAAACAAACTGGAAAGATTATAATAAATGGAGAGAAAACAAAAACATTAAGAATAAACAAAGGGATTAGGCAAGGTTGCCACCTATCTTCAATGTTATTTAATTTGACATTTGAAATACTATTAAATAATGTTAGAAAAGATTTAAAAATCAGTGGGATGGAAATTAAAGGGGACTAATATGAGGTAAAAGTGTTTATAGATGATATAGTACTAACTATAGAAGATCCCCTTAAACAATATAAGTCATTTAATGGAACAATTTTTAAAAATTGTAAAAAATATCTGGATTAAAAATAAATAAAGAAAAGACAAATATGATAACCAAAAATATGAGAGTTGAAGAACAAAAAGAATTAAAAGAAATGAGTGGATTTAACACAGGGGTAGGCAACCTTTTTGAGACCTGGACCGGTCCCCCGAAGTCCTGGTCTCCTCCAGGCTGAGGGGGGAGGAATGGCGGTGTGTGTGCTCATGTGCGCATGCACCCCCCACTGCAGCACACAACCCCCTGCACGCACCGCTGTGCATGTTGCGGCCGCCATTTTGATTTCCAAAATGGTGGTTGCGGTGCACACGGTCGCATGGAGGCCAAAACGTGTGGCAGTGGCGCACGGCGGCAGCGGCAGGGGTCCGCCTGGGCCAGTAAGTCCGGCGACCTGGGCCGGAACCAGCCCAGGGGCCATAGGTTCCTGGCCCCTGATTTAACATAAGCAAAAAAGCAAGATATCTTGGAATAACTATAACAAAAACTCAGACTGCTTTAATAACAACTACAAAATGAAATGGAATGAAGTAAAAAGATAATTAAATAATTGGAGAGATCTAAATTTGATGCTGCTAGGAAGAATATCAGCAGTAAAAATGAATGTTCTGCCTAAGTTACTCTTTTTATTTCAAACTATGTCAGTAATTAGAAAAGAGTGTATTTATGAATTGGCAAAAGGAGCTTTCTGAATTTATCTGGACTGGGGAAAAGCCCAGAATAAAACAAAAATTCATGCAAGATGCAACAGATAGAGGAGACTTAGCCATGCCAAATCTACAGCTATATTATGAAGCTTGTTGCATAGTATGGTTAAAAAACTGGGTAAATCTAAGAAATAATAAGCTGTTAAAACTAGAAGGCTCTGAATTGTGATTCGGATCCCATGGGTATGTATTAAATAAGAAAGAACAAGTCAATAAGAACTTTAATAATCATTTCATAAGATTATCTCTATATCAAGTTTGGAAGAAAAATAAGAAAAGAATAAGCCCTAAAATTCCAATCTGGGTCTCAACACATGAAGCCTTTAGAATAGATTCACAAAGAAAAGAAAAGTGAATAATATTTAAAAACACATTGAAGACGACAAAAAATTTGGAATGAAAACACTTGAATAACTAAGAGCAGAAAGATGGCAATGTGGCTGGTTTTTATTCCACCAATTGAAATCTAGATTTAAAGTAAACAATAAAACAATTGGAAAACAAAGGAAAAAACAAAATTAGAAAAAAAAACATATGGTCAGAAAAACCAGCTTTACTCTCAAGAATAAATAAGAATTTATTGGAAATATACACTGAGAGGATTTAAGAAAAGAGCATATGAATAAATGGGACCCAAACTGTGGACATATGATTGAACTAATAGTGCAAATTGAGTCCACATTAAGGGTTAGGGTTAGTGCTAGGGAATCATGGGAATTTTTTTTCCTGAGACATTGAGCCTTCTCTGTCAGAGAGCTCTGGTGCACAATAAAATACAGTTCCCATGATTCCCTAACCCTAACCCTAACCCTTAAAGTGGACTCAATTTGCACTATTTCTAACAGTCTGCAAAGGCCCTTAATCAATGGGAAAAAATCTTGGGTGACAAGAATCAAATATTCTGGCCAACTGCCAGACTAGTGTATACTTGTTATTGGAAATCAAAGTAGGAAGTACAGATAGATGAATGGATAATAAAATTTATGACATGATGGAACTAGACTTACTTTCTATGCTACTAAAGGAGGAGATAAGGGAAAATGCAATAAAAGAATGGGGAAAGTAGCATTGATAGCATCATAAAATAAGGAAAGTTTGAAGAAAGAAATTAATCAGAAGAAAAACAAAACTGATCTGATACGTGTT